CCAGCACTCTGTGAGGCTGAGGCGGGAGGACTGCTTGAGCTCAGGAGTTCGAGACCTGTCTGAGCAGGAGCGAGACCCCGTCTCTACTAAAAATAGAAAAATTAGCTGGGCGTGGTAGTGCGCACCTGTAGCCCCAGCTACTTGGGAGGCTGAGATGTGAGGATCGCTTGAGCCCAGGAGTTTGAGGTTGCAGTGAGCTATGATGAAGCCACTGCACTCTACCCAAGGGCAACAGAGCGAGATTCTGTATCAAAAAAGAAAGAAAGAAAGAAAGAAAGAAAGAAAGAAAGAAAGAAAGAAAGAAAGAAAGAAAGAAAGAAAGAAAGAAAGAAATTGCATCGTTCTGGTGGGCACTTGGGTTTAGCAAATATCTGGCTAAAGGGCAGGGCTGGTGAAAGACCAGGAATCCTATTCCCCGAGGGAGCCCTTCCTGGGTCCTTCGCTGTGGGTGTCCTCTCTGTGGCAGGGTCTCTCCTTTCAGTTTAACTGAAGGGAAGAGCGGCTGTAAGGTGCAGAGTGAGGCCTGGAATTCCAGTGTTTTTCCATTTTACTCATTGACCTATAGATAATAATGGTGGTTTTAAAAATTATATATTTATTTGGTGGCCTAGCTTTGCAACTGGAGGTGGCTAAGGTATAATGTTCCTCTTTATTATACAATCACAAAATATTATAAGCATTTGAGGGACACATTATTCAAAAAAGAAAAGCTTCTTTTCTGTTTTTTAAATCTCTCCTTTACTATTGCCTTTTTGGGTAATTTCAAGGTCTATTTCTTATGGGTAAAATGTATTTCTTCTCATCTAATAATATCAGAAGAAATTAAATAGAGAAGAAATGTCTTTGTAATCAAAACCCAGTGAAAATGGAAACCTGTTCTGCATTTCAGCTCCTCAGTGACTTAGAGAAAGGTGTTGTGGGGCAGGAATCCTCTCTTTCCTTCCTTAATTGCACTGAAAGCACAGTTAGTCTCTAAATAACAACATTGGAACTTTGAATATCAAGTGTAACAGCAAGACGCAGGACTTGGGAAATTTTAGCCTAGCAAGTGATATTTCACATCTGCCAACTTTTGTTATGGGATTCTTAGTATCCTACTGGCCGACTTCTGAGTCTCAACTTCCTGGACCACCCTTATTCTATTAAAACATCTTTTTCCTCTTAGAATTTTAGGGGAATCAGTTATTTTGGATGTGAGGTTTTGTTTTTCTCTCCTGAATAAAAAATTGGTTTGGACCCTACCCTAAATCATTATTTTAAATTATAATAAAAATATTAAAGATTTTAAAGATCTTTTAAATGAAGTTAAAAGATTTTTCTGTTAAGTTAAACATTTTAAAAATAATCTTAGTTTTATATTTTATATATATTTGAGACAATGTCTCACTCTGTTGTCTGAGCTGGAGTGCAGTGGTACCATCATAGCTCACTGCAACCTTAAACTCCTGGTCTCAAGTGATCCTCCTGCCTCAGCTTCCTGAGTAGCTGGGACTATAGGAGCATGCCACTGCAGTCAGCTAATTTTTAAATTTTTTTGTAGAGACAGGGTCTTGCTATGTTGCCTACGCTGGTCTCGAACTCCTGGCCTCAAGTGATCCTCCCACATCAGCATCCCCAAGTGGTGGGATTACAGGCATAAGCTACTGTGCCCGCACTCTCTCTTTTTGTTGACTTCTCATTTGTCTACAGATAAGGTCCTGTTTTCTCATCTAAAATAAACTGTATCTTAACTTTCTCTACAAAATGTTGTGACCGTAAAAGACCTTTGGCATTAGTATTAGTTAGAACCTGCCCCTCCTATATAAAGAGGGAGTAAATATTATTAGTCACATAACTGGGCATATTACTTTAGCTGAAGCACATAAAACATTTAGCACAATCTTTGGCATATATAAAAGGCTACATTAGTGTTGGCTTTTGCTTTATATATTTGACTTAGTGGCTGTTGTTTTTACTGTTGTTTCTCCCAAGAGCATCTTATACTGACTAGCTGCCTCCTCTATATTGCAGCCTATTTCCTGAATCTCTCTCAGTTTGTTCATTATAAACAAAACTGACATCCTCTTTACTGTTTTTGGCAGTATTAAACACATCTTACCAGTTTTCCTTTGAAATTTCCTACTTTTCTAATGAAGCAAAAATTTTTATTAAGGAGAGAAATTTTCTCCTTTCCCTAATCATGCCACTATCCTGGTTAGTAACTCTTTTCCTTACTCCCTGAACTCTTTTTTTCTGCACCCTCAAGTTTAGATGTTTCCAAATATTCTTGGCTTTTTAAAACTCTGGGTCTACAGGTTTGTACCACCTCACACAGCTAATTTTTATTATTTTTAGTAGAGACAGGATCTCACTCTTGATCAGGCTGGTCTTGAACTCCTGAGCTCTAGAGATCCTCCTGTCTCTGCCTCCCAGAGTGCTAGGATCACAGGCATGACCCATCACGCCTGGCCAAGGTCACTGATTTTAATGAAGTCTTTGGGAGAGTGGGTGTGGTAGGCACTAAAATATGTAGACTAAGATACACAGACTAAGCTATGCGTGTGGGAACTGAGACCACCTGGGAAATGGTATATTCTTGCTCTCACACACCTTGCCCTGGTGTCTACACACAGTCACTCATGGGCAGTAGTTCTCTATGTGTGGTCCAAGGACTCCTAGAAGTCCCTGAGACCCTTTCAAAGGGTCTTCAGAGTCAAATTATTTTCATAATGGCATTAAGATGCTATTTGCCATTTTTATTCCTTCTCTCATGAGTGCAGTTTTACAAAACAGTGGAGTTTTCCAAAGGTTACATGATGAATACACAGTTATCTCACAAGACTATTAAAATACTCTTTCCTTTTTCAACTACGTGTCTGTGTAAGGCTGATTTTCTTTTTATACTTTATACAGAATCACTTATTGAAACAGACTGAATGCAGAAGCAAATATGAGAATACAGCCATCTTAAGTCAGACATGAAAGAGATTTGCAAAACTACCAGACAATGCTCTTTTCATAAACTTATTTTTTTGAAAATTTTTATGTTAGCATGTAATAGGTTCAAATCAACTAACAAGGAGATATTTTTAAAAATTCCAGTTTTAATTTCTTATATGTTAAATATTGGTAAACATGAATTGTATAAATAAAAGCTTTTGGGGGGCTGGGTGCAGTGGCTCATGCCTATAATCCAAACACTTTGGGAGACTGAAGTAAGAGGATCACTTGAGGTCAGGAATTGGAGACCAGCCTGGACAACATACTTAGACCCTATCTCTATAAAAAAAATTAAAAGTGGCCAAGTATGGTGGTGCATGCTTGTAGTTCCAGCTTCTAGGGAGGGTGAGGCAGGAGGCTCACTTTGGCCCAGGAGTTGGAGGTTGCAGTAAGCTGTGATATGCCACTGTATTCCAGCATGGGCAACAGAGCAAGATCCTGTTTCTAAAACACACACACACACACACACACACACACACACACACACACAGCTTTTTAGGAGTCCTTGATAATTTTTATGAGTAGGAAGGGATCCTAAGCCCCAAAAGTTTGAGAACTACTGCTGTTGGGCATGATATATTCCTGAATGTGGAGTGGTAATGAAACTGCCCCCATTTTTAAAATCATTTCTCTCTCTGCCTTACTTTTCACCTTTCCAGTCTTCTCTCTAATTCTTTTAGCAAAGCTTTTTAATTTGTCTAAGTTGCATATGTGGTATGTGTTTCTACCAAATTTTATGAAGCAAATTCCTGTTGTGGCATTTTTTTTTTCTGCTGTGTTACCCTAACAAAATAAGACAAATAATCTCATTGTATATCTAAACCTGACTATGCATGACATAAATAGAATTTAACCTGTAACTCCTAGTAAAGACTTTATTGTCCCAGAGGATGATAAGTTTCCTAAAAGTCAGTATTTAAAAGTATAAATTTCACTGGTCAACCGAAGAAGAGGTTTTTTAGACTATATAGATCACTGAGATGTAGTCTCAGTAAGGTTTTGGGTAATGTAAAAGGATATTTGGAGCATAAAGTCCATCTGTGTACACAGATAACAAATTTGTGGGTTTTTGGTTGCTTGAAAATTGGAAGGATTGAGTGCATCTAATTGGAAAATCTTAATAGATTAGAGTAGTTATACTGCAAGTAAGCCCAGCATTCAATTAAGGCTCTATATTTTACTATCCAGGGGCAGTTGCAAAAAACACTCACCAACAATGCTTCCATTGCCTCTTTCTTTCTTATCAAAATGACTTAACATGATCTGAAATTATAAATGTTTCATTTGTATATTTAATTCACTAGGAGACTAGTCAAACCCTGAAGTGTGTATAACAATTGAGTGAAAGGGTGTCTTTTACTACTATTTTGAAATTGAGTTTTTAGGCTGAAATCATGAGGCCTTTATCCAATTTGGAAAGAAGAAGGGGTATGATATTACTTTAGTCTTCACCTTTATGATAAACTCTACTTGAAGGGTCACTGTTGAATTCCTCTTATTGGCCTTGTGGAGGATTCATTAATGTTTTACTCATTTTCTTATGAATTTATATGATCTAGAAATTCCTTCTGAGGTTCCAAGTGTCTTTGTTTGACAAATCCAGTGTATGAAATGTTAGTAAAATTTCTCACCTACACAGCAGTGACATTTAATATTCCATTTTTTAGAGATGTTACGAAAACAAAGACTACCAGCCAAATAGTGTGCACCTTTTCCCACCCCAAACTAGAAAAATGTATAAGGTTGTCTTATGCACTCTTTATGAAGCTCTGCCTAATGCTACCTCCTAGACAAACTATATAGTAGAAACTCAGTCAGTATAACTCATGGCAGTGTTGGTGGAACAGGCCCTTGATTTTGGGTTTGGATGCTGTTTTTCTGAGACTGTTCTTCTTGGATCAAGGGAGTCAGATGAAGTATCCCCGCATCATTCCTGACAAAAGCGGGCAGAAGGCCCTGAGCTGACTTTTCCAAGTGAGTGGGCTGGCTTTGCACTGATAAGAGTTTTCCTGAGCCCACAGATTGATGGTTGGTACATCCTGGAGTCCATCTGCCTGGCACTCAGTTCGAAGGGGTTCTCAATCCAAGAAGCTCTGTAGAGAAAATGGCAAATGTCGATCTGGAGTCTGGAAATAAGATTATACTTACCTATTTGATGCATTCTAGTGTTGTGGATTTCAAGGTAAATAAGAATGCCTGCTTTTGAAGTGGATTACAATAAAGTTAGGAGAGAAAGGGTAGCCCAGTGCATACAAATAAACACTGTTAGTGCTGTGGATGTGGTTAAGATAGAATGGGGAACAGGAGAATGGGAGTAAGCTGTCAGTTCCACCGCAGAAGTATTTGATAGATGTTAGATTTTTTTTTTAAGACGCAAAAAGAAGACAAATGACCTGTTACCATAGTTTCCTTTTACCTCCAATCATGGAGCCTTAATGGATGTTAAACAAAAAAATCGTTTTCTGAAAATTAAGGAACACCTCTAAGATCATGCTTTTTCAGAAATTCCCCTGAGAGAATCTATTATCTGGGAACACTAAAAAGCCTTAGAGCAGAAAACACAGGCTGAGCGTCACTAATCTAAAAATCTGAAATCCAAAATGCTCCAAAATCCAAAACTTTTTGAGTGCCAACATGATGTCACAAGTGGAAAATTCCACACCTGACCTCATGTGATAAGTGGCAGCCAAAATGCAGTTAAAACTTTATTTCACATACAAAATTAAAATATTGTATAAAGCTAACTTTAGGCTGTGTATATAAATTGTGTATGAAAAATAAATGAATTTCATGTGATGACACAGGAAAATGGATCCCAAAACTGGGGTCTGGCCTGAAGGCCAAGAAGGTTCTCGGTTTCATTCAGGAAAGAATTCAAGTGTGAACCTTAAGTTGGAAACAAAAGCAACATTTATTAAACAAACAAACAGCAAGCAGGGTACTCCATAGACAGGATAGCACCTGTACATTGCTGGAGAACTCTATTTATGGCTATCTCTTGATTATATGCTAAATAAGGGGTAGATATTCATGGGATTTCTGGGGAAAGGGTAGAGATTTCCAGGAATTGAGGGGCTCCTCTTCTTTTCATACCACGTAAGGTACTTTCCAGGGGTTGTGATGTAGACGGTAAACTGTCATGGCGCTGGTGGGAGTTTCTTTTAGCATGCTAATAAGTTATAAGCAGGGGATAATGAGCAAAGGGTGCAAGCAGAGGTAGTTTACATGACCATCTTGGCTCTTACTGGTCTGAACCTGCTTCTTTACTGCATCCAATTTTCCTTTTTTTGTCTTAGACCTTGGTTTGGGTCTTGCATCTTTTTATAGAGTTGGGCCTGTTGTTTTTTTTTTTCTTTTGGCTTTGGTTGTTTTCCCCCAATTTTTTCTTTTTTTTCTTTTTTGTACATTTCTTTGGAAATCTCCACCTTCATTCGGGCCTAAGATTGGATGGCAAGTCTGATTAAGTTTTAGGGTGAGACACACTGAGACCAACACTACTTCCCTTCTTTCTCTTTCTCTCCCACAAATAACAACAATTAAAAAACAAACAAAAACATCCAGTCTCTGAAGACTGCCATGATACTGCAGAAATGGCATCATCCCCACTCTCAACTATCACGGCCACAACAATTTGCTGCTCCAGTGGTGGATGCCAGCATGTTGGATGTTTGTCCCATATGCTGTTGCATCAGAACCAACAAACATTTGGTTCTCTGTTGAACTGAATTTGGGGCCTCCCCACTGTGTGATGGGGAATATAAAGAGAAGGGTACTATTTTGATCGAGGTAGGGGGAAAAGTAAAGTTCTAAACTGAGAACAGTTTGAAACACTTGCAATTAAGGCTGTTTTTCTTTTCCTGGTAGTTTTGAGATAAGATATGGGAATTGCAGGAGGAAAATTTCTATGTTCCTGTTAAGACACAGGCTTCCTGTTTACACCTTTGGAGGGAAAATTGTATACACACGTTCCTCAATTTCTATTTTAAGTGTGTTCATTTTATTACTCGTTCTATAACCATTGCCTTGGCCCTGGGGCAACAGAAATGACTGGCACTGGGCCTATAGGAGCTGGAGTCCAGAAGGAGAAAGCGGACAGTAAAGGAGCATGAGCGACCTGTGAGGGAAATGTGGAGGTCAAGATGGGTTTTTCTATGAAAACAAATACATCAAAGTTCAGTTCCCAGGCCACCGACCAAAAGTTGATTTTTATGTTTGATATTAACAATAATAGCTAAATTTTATTGCGCCTTAATAAGTCCCAGGAAGCATTTTTAAATCTTTAATTTATCTAATTTAAGCCTAATTTATCTAATAGCTCTATGAGGTATTATTATGATCTCCATTTTATTTATTTATTTATTTTTATTTTTATTTTTTATTTTTTTTTATCTCCATTTTAATAAATGAGCAAACAGGCATGAAGAAATGGAGTAAACTTGCCCAGATAATCCTACTTCCCAGCCTTTTAAAAGAGGGAATAGTTGAGCACCACTTGCTTAATTTATATATTTAGGCTCCTGAATTATAGACTTTTTTTTTGCATCTGTTTTTAATAGCTAATTGATGTACATGAAGTTTAATAATATCAATTTTGCAGCATGGCGACCTGTCTAAAATATTTGTTGAATGAATTCATAGATTCAGATATTTTGAAATTCAAAATGAAGAATTCTTTGAGGACAAACTGACTCCTCTGTAGCACCTTTGTCAGTGCTTTGAAAAAATTAATACTTAAGAAATGTCTGTAGAATACATAAATGAAATTGTTATCCTTTTTGAGTAAGGGACAGGGCTTACTGATTCTAAAAAATTGTGTCATTTCTTATTGATATAAGTAGATTGTGAATTCTCTGTTTAGTTCCTTTTAAATTCTATGACTCTGGATTTTTCCAAGTTTTTGTTTGTAGTGCTTTGCCAGTTTAGTGAATTTCTTTTAATGTATAAAAATATTGCTGACTATGCAAAAGGATAAGAAGGTAGAATGATTTGAGATGAATCTGGCCTTGATCTGGGAAGTTTTCCTTACTTATAGATACATTTTAAATACACAGGGACCAATCAGTCAATCTGGTTTTTTCTCCCTCCCTTTTGCTTAACAAGGGCCCATTATCTAGCGTTCTATTCAGTGGTGAACACTTATGTTTAGGGTCGGCACACGTTGGACAAGATTCATTGAACCATGTAAAGGATTATGTAAGTTGCCTTATTTGTAAATCATCTGGAGACCTGAGGATAGTGTGATAATGAGATGCCACAGCTGCATTTGTAACATGTTTTCTGGCCCAAAGCATTTATTTCATCCATGGTAGGATGTGAGTAGATATAAGAGTGAGGTGGCAACTGGTCCAATGTGGAGTATGAAAAAGCCCCCTGTAGAAAAAAGCTCACGTTCACTCTGTTCTCATACATATGTGTGTATGAAGGTACATGGGCACTTACTGCTATGTTGAAATGTTTTCATAGTAGGACAAAATATTTTCATATTAGGACAAGGGCAAGCTCATTAGTTAGTTGTCTATCGTGGATGCAGTGTACTCTGCCTGGACTTGTAATACGGCTTATGGAGGAGCTTGGCTGTGCTTTGAATTTTGTAGAATGGAAGGGAATTTTATTTTATTAGGAGTGAGTACCCATGTCCCACTTGGATTTAGGGACAGGTATAGCCTGTGCAACATGAAGCTGCACAGCCAGTGCTAAGCTATGCTTGCAGAATGCACATCAAATCTTGCTGAGGTTGCATCTCTCCTCTTTCCAGCTTCCGGTGAAATCTTAGCCAAAGTGGGACTTTATGAGTGAGAATTTTGAAGTTTTGAGAGCTTGATATTCTCTCCATAGGCTTATGGTACAAGATATAAAAGTGCCTTTTAGCAGAATTAAGAGAACACACCAGTTATATCTTTACTTCCTTGCCAGAGGTTTGTATATTTAGGGATCTTGTTACTTAAGGTGAGATTTTTGGACCAGTAAACTTGTATTTGAATGTTCACACTTGGCTTAACTGTGCCTGTGTCATCAGTAACAGAAGCTGGTAAATGTTTAGCCTGTTTATGTTTAGTCTGGGCATTTTAATTATCATCCACAATCCTTATATGCATCTTACCTACCTGAACTACTGTGCTTACACTGTTTTCTTACATAATTAGGGTATTAAATGATGACATTTTCTGTTTAGGCCCAGAAATCCTGGATTGAAGGAATATTTGACAAGAGAGAATGTAACAAAGTCATACCCAGCTCAAAAGTTCCTCACAGGTACAATTTTTAATCATACTTTTTTTTCTAAAGCAATACTACTTGAAGGACTGTTCATAGAAATTTAGACATATGATTTGTCTAGAAGATTTGGTGATATCTATAAAGTTAGTATTTTCAATGTTTGTTTCTTTCACTTTATAAGAGTATTACATGGTTATTGTAGAAAATCTGGTAAGAACAGGAACCTTGTCAGTTTTGTACCTCTCTCCAACTCCAGGCCTATAACAGTGCCTGCCACATAGTTGGCTCCTGATATAAATGTCTGTTTAATGAAGTATAAAGAAGAAAGAATTGAATTGTAACAGCATCACTGTTAATATTGTGATGGATTTCATTCCACTTGATGCTCCTGTGCCTCTTGATGTAGGGTTAGACACTAGGGAACTGTCTAGTGCTGCATCCGTTTTGCCAGGTTTGGATAAATAATTTACAACTTCTGAATATTGAATATTCAAAATATTGTGAATGTTCCTTATCCTCAACTAAAGTATTTATGGAAAATAATGACTGGGATATTTCAGGACCCTGTGCTCAGAGTATACAAGCAGGTAATTTTAGTTCCATTTCCCGCCCACCCCCCCATAAGCTTTTCATTTGAGCAGCTAATGGGCAGCAGAATGGAATGAGTTTGACTACTCAGAGTTCATGACAATCCTTTGGAAGCTCTACTTGTAGGACAAAGTTCAGAAAAGCTGCTGCCAGTGAAAGATAGGGGAAGAAAGGGCTATGGAAAATTCCCCAGGGTAATGAGTCCATGAAATTAAAATCGAATGGCATTGCCCTTGAGAAAAAAAAATGAAAAGGAAAATCAATATTTTAATTAGGGCAATCACTCTAGTTTTAGATTCCTTTGGGCAGTTGGCCTTACATTCATTTAAAGTTTAGTAGTCATAACCAGATGCTTATAAAGGGGTAGCATGCTGAGGTTCTCGAAATTCTAGTTCTTTGGAAATGACTGAAATAGTGTTCGTTGACTTGGTTAAACATTTACTAGTCCCACCCTCATGGAATTACCTAGGATTTGTAAGCCCTGTGATTGGAAATTCTCATTTTACCTACCTACAAAATGTTTACAGGATGCCAAGGTAACCTTGTTCTTTCCCTTCATTTTTTATAATGTCTCGTAATGTGACGGTGCCCGCAGTGGAAAGCAGATTAAGCTCAGTTGGCTCCTTTCGCTTCTGTAAATGGATAATCATCTTTACAATCACCTGGAACCTCACAAAAAAGGGGTGAAATTACTAAGTCTATTATTAGCCTATGAACTCCAAAAGAATATTAATGCTCCTAATTCCATGAATGGTCCAAGGCATGCTACATTTTATGCAGGGAAAAAAGCAGTCTCCATTTTTGTGGGATTGTAAAAAAAAGTTAATGGATGACTATGGCTCTTCCTCCTATGCCAGCCTTTTTTTTTTAAGATTCTAGTAGGATTCCCCAAGTTGTAGCTCATGTGCAGTTTTCTTCACTATGATGGACAGGAAAAGGGTGATAGTTCACTGTCATAGTTTTTGATAAAAGTTTATCTCTTTTGTGGATTCTTCTTGTAGCTCCCAATAAGAAACAAATCTGATAGACTTAATGATGACGTCTTTTTCCTTCGCATTTTCAACTTGTTGAAGTAAAGTTTCTGAGAAATGACATTCCCAAAAGGCTGCGACAGAAAGATGTGAAAGGCCTGAACATTAGTTTCTGAATAACTTAGTGTGACCTTTATTTTATGAGCACTACCCTTTTTCCCATTATTTTAACTAGAGTTGCCTGTTACAATTCTTTGCATTGAAAATATTATCATTGATGACCACAACGCTAACCCCCAAATACAGAAAGTTCTTCTGAATCATAAAATAAAGATCAATCAAGGCGATCATTATAATCATACCAACTGTCCATTGATTTGATAGTGTTTTATGGCTTTAAACTTGTTTATACATATTTTTTCTTACTTGATTATCAAGAAGTTTTTTTTTCTTTTTTTTAAATTTTAATTTTTTTCTGCTTCTTTTTCTTGTTTCTAGAACCACATGCCAGATTCCTGGTTTTTTTCTTTTTTTATATTTTTTAATTTTAATTTTTTTCTGCTTCTTTTTTTTTCTATCAAGAAGTTTTTGTCATGATCATAGTTTAATAACAATAATAGCTACTGAGGCAGACGGCTCAGGAGGCTGAAGTGGGAGGATTACCTGAGGCCAGGAATTGAAGACCAGCATGGGCATCATAGCAAGACTCTCTCTAAAAAAAGAAAACAATAGCTATTATTACACACATTGTAATGTATGGGTACTATAAGTCACATTATATATATTATTTCAGATAATCCTCTTAATAAACTTATGAGGAAGATATTATTTTCAGATGTAAAAATGGGGGCCCAGAGGAATTGTTAAATCTGGGGCATGGTCATGATGGAGACTCAGACTTTTGGGGGGGGAAATGGGCATTTATTGAAACCTTAAAATCTGTACCCCCATAATATGCCGAAATAAAAAAAAAAATCAATGAGATTCAAATCTAGGTATTGTTTCCAAACTCAATGTTCCACTAATTAGATCCTAATTGTTGCAGTACAATTAAATATATGTGATAAATGACAGAATATCTGGGAAATTATAAATGAAAATTCAGCAAACTCTGATTTCTAGACCACGGAAAATAATAGATATTCACTGTATATGCATTAAATACATTTTCAGATGCATCAGTAAACTAACAGAGGTTTTATTTCTTTAATTAGGTGTGCTCCAATATGCCAGGTCTGCCAGAATTTAATCAGGTAAGACTTAGATAAATAAGATTCCTTTTAACTTTTAGACACCCTGTTTAAAACACTTGGGACAGTTTCCTCTCATCATGAATGGACTGAGTGAAAGGTGCATGCCATTTACCTTAACAAGGCCAGTTTTTTAAAAATGATTTTTAAATGGAGAGTGATTATTTGAATATAACAGACTACTTGCAGTACTTAGACATGTAAGTGGCTAAGGGCATTTGGCAAGAGCTTCTACCAGTGGAAATGTTTATAAAGCATTACATTTTAATGTTACTATCACATTTTATTTCGATAATGAAGATGCTTCATGCACACACGGCATTGTATTTGATTTATGCCTTACAGGTGATGTGTGTGCATACCATGCTTAGGAGCAAAAACAACCGTTTAGTGCAATATGAATTTTAGCAGTGATTTGCATATTAAACTATGTAACTGGTTTTACCTTTCTCTTTTGTAAGTGGAAGAAAGTGAAATTTCCTTAATTTTGAACATAGCCTGAAGTTTATATTATGGATTGAACCAAAATTAAATTTATTTTTGCAAAAAAAAGTTTGGAACCCCCAGTTTAGCAAGTCATGGGGAAAGGAAAACAGCATTCACAGATGTGGGAGGAACAAGAAAAGGAGAGGCTTTGGGTAGGGAGAGTTTCTACTTGGCTGACCTCTTTCACATTTTCCTCAAATTCTTTTTTCTTTCTTTTTAGTAATTATTGAACATTTTGTTAAAGTTCAAAGCAAATGTAAGAAGTACAAAGTCCTCATTTTACTTACTTTGTTCTTCAGAAATTCTCCCTGTTCATATCCTCCCAAACCCCACAATCTTCCGAGGTAACTAATATGAAAATACTGAAAAAGCATCTATTTTACAACATCCAGTTATTAAAAACAGTTATAACTCATCATTTTTTGCACATCACTAGGTCCTAGTTTTCTTTTTTTGATAGGGAGAGCTAAATGTCTCAATACCAGTGAGCCTCTCTCATTTCTTTTCTTTTTTTTTTTTGATAATTTATTTTTAAATTTTATTTATTAATTAAGATTTTTTGTTTTTTATTTTATTTTTTCTTTAGAGGCAGGATCTTGCTCTGTCACCCAGAGTAGAGTACAGTGGTGCAATCATAGCTCACTGCAGCCTCAAACTTCTGGGCTCAAGCGATCCTCCTGCCTCAGCCTCCTGAATAGCTGAGACTACAGGTGCTCACCAACACACCTGGCTAATTTTTAAAATTTTTTTTTTTTTTTTTGTGGTGACAAGGTCTTGCTATGTTGCCCAGGCTAGTCTTGAGCTTTTGGCCTCAAGTGATCCTCCTGCCTCAGCCTCCCAAAGTTTTACAAAGGATTACAGACATATGCCACTGTGCCCAGCCTGAGCCTCACTCATTTCTGATGCCATCTCTGTCACAGACCAAATTCCCATCTGTCTGTGGCTCTATTTCTGAGCTTTCTCTTCAGTATCATTGATTTACTTATATTCCTGTCAAATGCCAGTCTGTCTCATTATTACTGTTTTGTAACATATCTTGATATCTGGTAGGGGAAGTCTTTTATGCTTTATTCTTTTTGAAAATTGTTTTTACCTTGTTGGACACTTTTATACATCCATATAAATTTTAGAATCGCTTTGTCAAGTTCCCTGAAAAATCCTTGTAGGATTTTGATGAGTATTTTATTGAATTTATAAAATAATTTGAGATGGAATTAACATCTTCATAAAGTGAGCTTTTAATACTTACAAGTGATATGTACTTTGGGACTTCTGTAAGTTATAACTAAAGGGATAAACATGAACATTTTTTGTTTGTTTTTAAGTTTGGAGAAGATCTGTTCCTTTGATGGGGCCACTTTGCCACAATTTAACGAGCTGATAAAAATAGAATAAAACTATATTGACTCAAATCAGATAGATTATTAGTCTAGAAAAATACTTAGAAAAAAGTGGGTTCAAACTGAACAACAGTCCTATAAAAGAGTCATGAGTCATCTCTCCAGACGTGGATGAGGGTATCTCAATTTATGTTCTACCTTTCTCTAAATAAAAGGTAAGTCAGATGCATCTTTATCTGCTTTCAGTTTATGAATAGATGCCTTTTCATTTTGAAGCCTGACCCTTACTCCAAAAGATGTTCAGGCTAGTAGATCCTGATTAGGTGTATTCTGTACCTATGAGGCTACTATTCCTCCCTTTGCGTTAAGAGCCCTTCCATATGCGGCGCCAGTGTTATCTTTCGTATTCTGGTTTGTTTTCTTTCCATTCTGTTTCCTTGCTTAGTTGAACCCCACAATTCATGTATGTTTTTGTGTTGCTTTTTACGCACCCCGAAGTGTTCATCACCTGTGCGTGTTCTGGTTCTTTGAAGAGATCATAAACTGTAGACCCTTCTATCTCCCCTGTAATTTCTTACCATGTGCTACCTCGAGTGGCTGTTCCATGGAGTGGCTGCACGACCAGCAACCATGTCCTACTTACTGATCAACTCTTTCAGGAGAGGGTCCTGGATGGTGAGGATCATTGCATGTTTTCAGTTACACAGTGACAGGAAGGAAAAGGACATTAGAGGCCACCTTGTCCAACCAATTCTTTTGGTATTATTGCAGTTGAGGAAATGGAGAGTGGAGATTTGCGCAGCGTTGGCCATCTCCTGGTCCGGTGCTCTTGTGCCAGGCCACATTGCTTCCTAGATGCTTCTTGTTTATCGTCTAGGCTGCCTGCTCTTCAGCTCTAGTCTTTGATTAGCACTGCTTGTCAGCTACAACCCACCTCTATAGCTGGCGTTTTAGTCATCTAGAACTGCTATAACAAAATATCACCCACTGGGTGGCTTAAACAACAGAAATGAATTTCTCACAGTTCTAGAGGTTAGAAATCCAAGATCAAGATATTGGGTAGGGTTGGTTCTCCTGAGACCTCCCTTCTTGGCTTGCAGATGGCTGCCTCCTTGCTAGATCCTCACATGGCCTTTCCTCTGTGTGTACACGTCCCTGGGGGCTCTCCCTCTTCTTGTAAAGATATCACTTCTATCCAATTAGGGCCCTACCTTTATGACCTCATTTAACTTAAATTACTTCCTTAAAGGCCCTGTCTCCAAACAGGGCTTCATCATATGAATTTTGGGGAAACACAATTCAGTTTATAACAGCCAGTCACATTTTTCTACCATGTACACAAATGTAGTTGACACCATTGTCTCTTTAGAACTTCTTGGAAACAGAGCTCTGGTCCTTGCTAGATTTCTTTACCATTTTCGTCTCATTGGATATATTTGCTATCAGATAAGCAGATCAAAATATAGAAGCTAAACATGACATTTGCTATTATATAATGCACCTCAATAATCCAAAGGATTAATTGTACATTAGAATATAGACACTGGAATTTAGAATGAAAAGTTGTCAAGAGGAAGATGGACTTTTTCAGGGTATTCAAGGCAGGGCATTATAGGCATTGCAGTCTAATCAGGGAGCAGGAACTGGGGACTGGGATGTCATTAAAAAATTGCTTAAAAATTTTTTTCTCATCCATCTCTACCTAGACAGGATGTCATTTTTTGAAAAGAAAGTTTAGAAATTTTGGATGTTGTAGTCTCTCCTCCTTATCCACCATTCCACATTCTGCTTTTTCAGTTTTCTATGGTCCAAAAATACTAATTGGATAATTCTGGAAATAAAAAATACAAGGTTTTCAATTGCACACCCTTCCTAGTAGCATGATGAAATCTTAACACTGTCTTGCTTTGTCCCGGGACATGAATTATCCTTTAGTCCAGCGTGGCCATGCTGTAGATGCTACTTGTCTGTTAGTCATTTAGTAGCTGTCTGGTGATCAGATCAACTGTCATGGTATCGTAGTGCTGATGTTCAAGTCACCTTTATTTTACTTCATCATGGCCCCAAAGCCCGAGAGTAGTGATACTGGAAATTCAGATATGCCAAAGAGAAGCCTCTGCTTCCTTTAAGTGACAAAGTGAAAGTTCTCAGCCTAATAAGGAAAGAAAAAAAATTAGCTGAGGTTGCTGAGATCTCTGGCAAGAATAAATCTATTTGTGAAATTGTGAAGAGGAAAAAGAAATCTGTGCTAGTTTTGCTGTCACACCTCAAACTGCAAAAGTTATGGTCACAGTATGTGATAAGTGCTTAGTTAAGATGAAAAAGGCATTACCTTGTAGGTGGAAGACATGAATAGAAACATGCTCCAGTTGAAAGCAATAGGGTTCAGGCCTCTCCACGATTTCTCCCATCCCCTGGGAAGCGTGGAACGTATGCTTTGCAGATAAGGGGGGACTACTGCATGCACATATTGTTCTTGAGACAGGCTTCATAACTTTAATCTGAGATTCAAAGTGACTTCTGACCCTTACAATCAAGAATGACAATGGTTTAGAGTATCTTATGCCTTTGACACTATTGAATTCAAATTAATATCTTGGAATAATAATTAAAAAAATGTGTTACGAAGCAAATGTGTGTCCTTGCCAACACTTGACGTTGTCAGGCTTTTTCAGTTAAAACTTTATGATGGGTGCATACTGGCATCTAATTTCGAAAAAACAATTATTGGCTTGAAGAACACCTGGCCTGTATGCCCAGTGTGGGGAGGGAAGAATGTCATGGTAGAGTCGTCCATGGGGCCTTGAGCTATTGATAGACTCACCCTTAGAGTCAGAGACTGCTTGGAGCTTAAAGACAAACCCAGCTCTGAAGATTTTAAAAAGGAAACGTGTACATTTTAGAGAAACATTCTAAAATGTAGAAAAGAAAAATGTCTTCAGTTTTTAAAGTTCTTGCTATGTCTATCCAATTCTCGTTTTAAAATTAGTGAATCACTAAACTTCATTCCTGAAAACAATATAATTGGGCTACAGCTGTGGAAATAATAAGATAAAGCCCTTCTTACAACGGAGATAACATCAATTTAGAAATATGAATTTCCCTTTACGAAGAGAATCTCAGCTTTAGTTATAGGAAGAAAATGAAGCAAACAATTTGCACTTTAAATGTTTATTGATGTCCTGGGCCACTAATTGACTTGTTTATATATTGACAAGAAAGTGAAAGAAAACAGATATTTAATGTCCAGACAGCTAAACAGAACACTTATCTGTTGATTAATCAAGGTGAGGTGAAGGTCACAAGTAGAAACTATATTCCATTATTTATAATAAGTGACAAATTTTCTCTGCTTCTTGATATTCATTTTAAAGAGATAAGAACTCTCTTGATGTCAAATTGTTTTCCTAAAGAGGCTCTTTTCACTCATCTAAATTATGACCCTTAGCCTCTATATTTGTATTTTTGTCAAATTTTATTCACTATCTTGTAGATAATACATAAAATGATGAAATATGGCTTGGGCAGAGAATAGAGATATTTCATAAACATGATTATAAAACTCAACTGATAAAAAATCACTGAAGATATAATTGAATGTGAATGATTTAGTCCATTCTATCTATGTGTGCATATGTCCGGCCATCCATCTATGCATCCATCCTGTCCTGTTTTTGTTTCTTGTATTAGAAAAGCTGCTTCTAAGTTCTGATGTTTGACATAGCAATTCATTCCTGACTCTTCTTTGTAGTAGCTTATTAAAATTGCTTCTTGTAATTTCTAAATTTAAAACACAACTTAAAGTTCTTTCTTTATGCAAATTTAGAGTATATGTGAAATGTTAGGTAAACTCTAAAGTTCCATATAAACATTGGCTGTTGTGATTGTTATACTGTATTTATGACATTAGTACTATATTCTGGGCTGGGCACGGTGGCTCACACCTGTAATCCCAGAACTTTGGGCGGCCAAAGTGGGAGGATCACTTGAGGCCAGAAGTTCAAGAACCTGTCTCTACAAAAAAGAAAAAAAGAAAAACCAAACAAACAGTGAGCCTGTACTCCCAGCTACTTGAGAGGCTGAGGCAGGAGGATTGCTTGAACCCAGGGAGTTCAAGGCTACAGTGAGCTGTGATTGTGTCACTGCACTCCAGCCAGGTGACAGAGTGAGATCCTATCTCTAAATTAAAAAAATTTAAAAAAAAAAAATAAAAGGGGGGCCAAAAGAAAAAAAAAGAAAGAAAAAAAGAATATATTCTGGTCAATTTAGTTGAATTTAAAAAACACTCTGGCACTCTGTCAATTGTACCCAAGAAAGACTTTGGTGTCTTCCGCCTCATATTTATGAAACACCTTCCAGGGTGGATCAGTATTAGTAATTATGTAGTGTTTTGTTTTTTTCTGACCACCTGAAGTCTGAGAACCATAGTACTTATGTGTTGATTCTGTCTACTTTCACTGACTTCAGTTGCCCTCTAGAAGCTTTGCATGGGCTACACACAAAATCTCAGAATTCTATAGCAGTATATTTTGTAGAACACTCATCACTAAATTGAGACGTACGAACTCCATAGAGTTGAAAAAACAATCCATTGGGGAGATTTTTAAAGAGAGAGTAAGATTTCCTTATTGTATATTTTTTTCTTTTAATGGAGACAGGGTCTCACTCTTGGTCAGGCTGGTCTCAAACTGCTGAGCTCAAGTAATCCTCCTGCCTTGGCCTACCAGAGTGCTAGGATTACAGGTATGAGCCACCACGCCTGGCCTAAGATTTCTATTTCTACTTTTTAATCTAAAAATAATTAAAATTTAGTGATATATTAAAAAATTTCCCATGGTTTATGAATAAAGTATGAAAAGGGGTACAGTGAAAAATCTCCCACCTACTCTTGCTGCCAGGGAGGAGGCAGCCCAGTTTCACTTCCCCTATTCATGGTTCCCACTGTTGTTAGATTTTTGTGATTCCTTTTAGAGTTTGTTTTTTTTTTGAGACAGAGTCTCACTTTGTTGCTCAGGCTAGAGTGAGTGCCATGGCGTCAGCCTAGCTTACAGCAACCTCAAACTCCTGGGCTCAAGCGATCCTGCTGCCTCAGCCTCCCAAGTAGCTGGGACTACAGACATGCACCACCATGCTGGGCTAATTTTTTCTATATATATATTAGTTGGCCCATTAATTTCTTTCTGTTTATAGTAGAGACGGGGTCTTGCTGTTGCTCAGGCTGGTTTCGAACTCCTGACTCGACACTCGCCGCCTCGGCCTCCCAGAGTGCTAGGATTACAGGTGTGAGCCACCGTGCCTGGCCCCTTTTAGAGTTTTTAATTCACATATAACATAAATATATATTTAAATTTTTCTCCAGTACTGTTTTCCACAAATCCTGCTTCAATGATGGTGTCTCAGTCCTTAGCCTATTTGGGCTGCTATAACAAAATACCATAAATTGAATGGCTTATAAATAACAGAAATGTATTTCTCACAGTTCTGAAGGCTGGGAAACCCAAGATCAAAGTGCTGGTAGATTTGATGTCTGGTGAGGGCCCGTTTTCAAAATTGTGCCTTCTCACTGTGTTCACACGTGGGGGAGTAATAGTATTTGTATCTGAGGCCTCTTTTATGAGGGCACTAAACTCCAGTCATGAGGACTCTGCTCTCATGACCTAGTCACCTCTGAGTGCTCCAGCTACAAATACTATCACTTGGGGGTTGGGATTTCAACTTATGAAATTTAGGGGGACACAAACATTGAGATCATAGCAGATAGTATGCCATGCATGCTGTGTACTTTGCTTTCCTCACTTAACCATATATCTTATACCTTAGAGTTCCTTCTGTAACAAGATAGAGAGCACTTCACTTTTTTTTTTACAGAATATGGATGTGTTATAAGTTATTTGGTTGGTTCCCTATTGATGGACATTTAGGTTATTCAGTTATTTGCAATCATTTACAATTGTTAACAGAGCTACAATAAATAACTTGGGGAATTCATCTTCTACAGCTATCTTAAAAAAAAATAACTTGGGGAATTTGTGATTTCCTTTATAGCTCGACTAATGTATAATATGTGGATTGACATTAATATATGATATAATTTATCAGTAAACATACATATATTAGAGTGCATGCTCTATATGTGCATGCTCTATATGCTCTAGATCAAAAATCTAACAGATTTTTGCTGTTTATGGAGTTGTCTTTACACATTTTATTGTGTACCATATGATTAAACTTTTGGGGATATGTATCCCAATATATGTATCATATGTATGTTTGTTTATCAATTATATAAATGTACTCTTATACAATATATTACATGCATTATATATTTTTTCTTTTTCTTTTGGAAAAAGTGAAGAGCTATGAATACATGCATTGTGGGAACAAAATGAACTATAAAGAGAATAGATAAATGAACAATATTAAAATATTTTATTTTACTTCATAATAGCAAAAGGTCTTTGTTCTCTCCCAAATATTATTATTTGAAAGAAGATGTAAAATCTAAATTCATATTTATTCTTTTTGCTTTGTCATGTGGCTTACAGAGAGCTTATATGAGAAGTGGGAAAGAGATGTGTTGGTTCTGTTTTTTATTGTTTGTTTGTACTTATTAGTATTATCTTCAGTTTGTTATTTCATTACAGAAAACTTATTAAATTGCTTGTTCCTTTTGTGAGGAATGTACTGGTTGAAATAAGATAACATAATCTCTAAGTTCACTTAACAGTCACATACAAATTATGATTTGTTGGATGCACTTGAGTTCATGAGAGCAACATAGTCTGGAATTGAGACCAAGTGAGGGTACCTGTGTCAGAAGCCATCAATATCAAGGCAAGACCCCCCCATATCAGCACTAAGCTTACAACTTACTTAAGGTTTAGATGATTGTTAGCATTTTTAAACAAGAAATTATTATTTATTTATTTTTTATTTCAAAATATTAAGGGGGTACAAATGTTTTTGTTACATGGATACCTTTCTTTTTCTTTTTTGAGATAGGATCTTGCTCTGTCATCTGGAGCTAGAGTGCAGTGGCATCAGAGCTCACCACAACCTCAAACTCTTGGGCTCAAGCCATCCTCCTTAGTAGCTAGGTCTACTGGTGCATGACACCACGCCTGGCTAATTTTTCTATTTTTTGTAGAGATGGGGTCTTGCTCAGGCTGGTCTCAAACTCCTGGCATCAATTCTGCCTCAGACTCCCAAAGTGCTAGGATTATAGGCATGAGCCACCATGCCCGGCCCATGGATATCTTTTATAATGCTTAAGTCTGGGCTTTCCATGTGCCTGTCACCTGAATATTTTTCATTGTACTCGATAGGTAGGCTTTTACCCCTCCCCTCCTTCCTCCTTTCCTCTTTTTGATTTTCAATAACATTTACATCTCTTTGTGCCTGGGTGTCCATTGATTAGCTCCATTAGAGAGTACATGTGGTGTTTGTTTTTTCACTTCTGAGATACTTCACTTAGGATAATGGTCTCTAGTTCTATCCAAGTTGCTGCAAAAGACATTATTTCCATTATTTCATTCCCATTTATGGCTGAGTAGTACTCCATCATACATTATATACCACATTTTCTTAATCCAATCATGAATTGATGGACACTTAGGCTGATTTCACATATTTGAGATTGTGAATAAATTATTTTTAAATTAAAGTATGTACATCGCTTTTTTAGACATAATGCTATTGCACACTTAATAGACTACAGAGTAGTATAAGCATAACTTTTATATGTACTGGGAAAAAATTTGTGTGACTTACTTTATTGGGATATTCATTTTATTGCAGTGGTCTGGAACCTAACCCTGAATATCTCCAAGATATGCCTGTGTTTTATTAAACATTCCCAAAATTATTCTAATGTACAGCCAAGAGAGAGAACCACTGAGAATGTTTCCAAATTTAGAGGTTATAATCCAAAGTTATAAATCTAATATCAATCTTTTTTTTTTTTTTTTCAGACTTCTAAGTTCAGGTGATAATATCAATCTTAATGTGAATTTTTAAGAATTAATATATGGCATCTATACATTACTCTAGAAAAATGTAGATCCATTGTATCTGTTTTCTATTCTGATGTTGTTTGGTTTTGTTTTTCCCTGAATTTTAGGTGTTACTGTGGCCGGCTGATTGGAGAACATCCTGGAATAGATTATGCCTGGACCATCTCAGCTGCCAAGAGTAGTGAAAATGAACAATGGTCTGTTGAAAAGCATACAACAAAAAGCCCTACAGATGCCTTTGGCACCATTAATTTCCAGGACGGAGAGCATACCTACCATTCCAAGGTTTGCTAATAACCCAAATTGTCTTGCTGGTTTTGAACAGAAGATAATCTCCAAATGTGTTTCCAAATTGGATCTACAAGTATAGATAATCAGATGACTTGGCTTTATTGCAGAATGATCCATGCTATTGACCCAGCTGACAAAATGGCCTGACCCTCTCTTTCCTTTATGTCTGAGGGGCATTGTACCTTTCCCAGGTGTGGCTGGCCAGCTGTTTGTTTGACTGACTTCTTTCAGCAAGCTTCTACTCTGTGCAGAAGAGAATGGCATACTGCCCTGAGACAATTGCCAAAGGTCTGCCTTTTTCTTAAGGAATGCAGAAATTTACTCCCACTGAGCAGGTGTTAGCTGAAGCATGACCATGGCGATTACCAGTAACTTAGGACTATTCATTCCCCCAAGTTCTTGTGAGAGCCTCTTCTCAGAAAGAATATTGGAGAATTTTCTCTCTGTGCCTACTGAATGATAATACTTGGGCTTTGTGTCCAGTTTTCCTCCCATCCCTAACATGGTAATTTTGCATGTGATTTGCATAGTATTGACAGGCCAGCTATCTCTCAGGTGTTTTCTCTTGAGCATATTAACTACCTGCTACTTGATGAGAGGCAGCTTTCTTTGGGGAAAAAGCAGGTAGAGCCCATCTCAGAAAAGCTCTGAATCAGCTCTATGCTACAGTGTGACCATCCGTTGACTAATAATGCTATCCTAACAAAATTTCAAAATACAGTTCTATGATAATCTATATTTATATTTATTAGTCCTCGTGCATTTAACTTTGTGTGTTGATGTTTTCTTTAGTTGGCAGGAAAACCACCATCATTCCCTTCTCTAATCCTTTTTGGAAGCTGATTCTTAAAGAACCCTATGTGTATTTTCCCCTTAAGTTTCACTCTTCCTCTTTTTTTGCTTTTATGTTTATTTTATTTCTTTTTTGAGAGACAAGGTCTTACTTTGTTGCCCACCCAGGCTGGAATGCAGTGGCATGATCATAGAAATCCACCCGTCTCAGCCACCTGAGTAACTAGGACTTCAGGGGCATGCCACTATGCCTGGCTAATTTTTTTACTGAGACAATGTCTTGCTGTGTTGCCCAGGCTGATCTCCTGGCCTCAAGCCATCCTCCTGCCTTGGCCTCCCAAAGTGCTAGGATTACAGGAGTGAGCCACCGTGCCTGGACCTATATTTATTCTTGCCTAGTTCCCTTCATTTACTCATATTTTCATCCACTCAACAAATATTTATTGGGTGCCCATACTTGTTATGTCCCAAAGAGTGTATATTCTATGTACTAACATTGCATATAGTTTAGCGAGAAAAAACAGGAAATAAATGTACAATTACCACAGAGGGCAAATGCTACGAAAAGGAACACAGGTTCTTTGAGAGAATGAAAAGAGCAACTCCCTTGTTTTTGAGGGGGTTGTGTGTGTATTAAGGAAGTGTCTAAGAGTAGGGACAGCTAAGCTGAGATCTGAAAGGTGAGGTGAATGGTGTCAGTTGAGGCAGAGGAGTACAGCCACTCCAGGCACAAGGAATGGCTCGTGCAAGGGCTAAGGAAGTATACGGCACGTTTAAGAGACCTGAAAATATTGCTGTACATATTTTCTGATAACTATTATGCTTTATGCTTCTCATTCAGCTCCTGCCACAGCCTGTGTAGATGAACACATGTTATTTAATGTTTCAGAAGAAAAGAGGATAGCATTCATATTTAGGCCTAGAACCACAATTCAGGTTTACATTGGAAAGATTGGGAGAGTGTTTTTTTGTTTGTTTG